GTTTCATTTTTATTCTTTTTCTCATTTTTTGTGGAATAATTATTAGGAGGCCGACGGTCTTCAAGACCGATTGAGGCCGAATGGTGCGCGGCAGATCCAATTCCGTTTATTTCTTCTGCCTGTGTTATGGTTAAACTAAAAATTGGTCCTTTAATTTAGCAATTTAAACTCATTTTAATCTCTCAATTGTAGGGATGTTCATATCTAATCTAATTCGATTGATTCAACTTAAACTAATTCAATCCAATAAAAAACTAAACCAAACCAATATAAAATTAAATTCCAATGGGGTAATTCAATAGTTAAAGGTTTGAGATTTTAAGTTGAAGATTTCAAGTTCGAATCTTAAGTCGAGTCGAAAGAGATTTAGGAAAATGAGAGGGTTATCTTCTCTTGTATAGCTCATTTAAATGTACAAAAAAAAAAAGATATAAAATTGAGTTGATTTGAATTATAAAATTTTAAAATTAATATAATTAGTTTAGTTTACAGTTTTATTTTTAAATTGCTTGAATTGTTCGATTATAAAATAAAACCAAATTACAAGATAATTTAATTAAATAATATAATATATTTTTTTGAGTATTTGAAATTTTATTTTTCTGGTTTAACAAATAATATCTCCATTACCAACAAGGGGTTGGATCAAGTGGTAAGCGGCTTGTTCCAGCTTAAGCAAGGTCTCGAGTTCGAGACCTTGTGAATGCAGCAGCCTCCGTTGGGAGACTCACCCACCATTTCCAGGTGCGCGACGCGGGTCGATCCGGATTAGTCGGGGCGAAGCCCCGGATACCGGACGGGAAACCGAAAAAAAAATAATATCTCCATTAATTTAAATAAAAAATAAAAATAAAATATTTCTATATTCCTTAATTTATTTTTCTTTTTTAATCATGCACTATAACCCTAATTCTAAATTCTAATTCACCTGTAACTCTATCTTTCATAACTAGTCTACAACTCTATTTTTAGAACCCTAAATTTCTAATTTGTTCTTAAAATGATATTCTAATTCTCTTAGCTAAGTTTTACAAAAGTATCATTCTAAAAGTCTTAAAATTACATAATAGAATTAATCTTGATATTTTATTATTCTTAGATGATGGGAATCAAGACGACAGCATATCTACTACGTCATGTGATCCATTACACACCCAAGGAGGTCCAATCACGCGAGCTAGAGCTAAGAAAATGCGTGAAACTTTAAATGGCCTTATTGAGCAGATCTGGATTGAAAACAACATACAACAAGCAAATCAAAGCTTGGATGATTATCAAAGCATGATAAACATCATTCAGGTTCAAGAGAAGCTTAATTGAGGTCATTTATGGTAAATTACCCAGTTTGCATCAATCTCACAATTCTGTCGCAATTTGTAACAAACTGATATTTCATGTTACTTTAGACTACTTTTAGTTCACGTTTTTTATATTATTTTGGGCTAAACATTCTTTTATTTAAGCCCCAATTCGTGGTTATTATGATTAAAGCTTAGGGTGTTAGTTTCCTATTCTAATTAGAATTACTTTTCCCTATTTAAAGGAGCTTGTAACCCTAATTGAGAAGGCTATTGAATTTGAGATTTTGAGAGACTTTTCTCTTTAGTTCGTTTCAGAACTTTACAAAACTTATCAAGATTATTCTTGCGGCATTCTAACCTGACTTATCATTCTCGTTCTTAATCGTTCGAGGGTATGGCGTCAACCAACTTTATACCTCTGGTTCTTGTTGCGTTATAAACAACAGGTCAAGGTTTTTACCTTTGGTTCTTGTTGCGACATAAACAACGGGTCAAGATCCTATTATAAACCTAATTTAGCTTTCCTGGAGTTTAGAAATCCATTATCGTGCTGTGGTCTCGTTGTTCTCTGCCGGGTTCTCATCATTAGATGTATGGTTGAGGTGTTTTAGGTCTTGATTATAAATATTTCTAACCAATTCTACTGATATTAATATTAAATTTTATTTACTTTTAACAAGATTTGAAATATGGAATTGAATTATTGGTGTATTAAAAAAAGAACTAATTTTAATTTTTAAGAATTACTTACATTGTACTTCAAACTTAAGGTCATCTTTTATTGTTTTTGATGTCTGTAGTGACATAGTCAAGAAGAATTTATAGATATTTTCAATTTTTACAATTGTAAAGAAGAATAAAAACTTGTTAATAATTTGTGTTTTTTTATTAAAACTCTAATAAATTAAAAAATAAAAAGGTTTAAAAATAAAAATTCCAATTGAAAATAAAAATTTTTACAATAACCTAAAATTTTAAAAAAGGTAAAAAACGAATAAACCGAACAAAAGCAAGCATCAGTTTGGTTATTATCTAATATTAGATTGAATTAGCTTAAAAATTTTACAAACTAATTAAATTAACTTAGTTTAAAAAACATTAAAATTTGAATCAAATTACATCACGAACACCCTTGTTTAATTATTTTGAACTTTTTTTTATTGTTTTGATACCTTATTTAAAATTTAATTTTAAACATGTTAGTGCTTAGATTATTTTAAGTTTTAATATTTAAGATATCAAGATTTAAATTTTTTAAAATTTATTAATATTTAAGGTATTAGTAGTATTCTTTAAAAAGTAAATAAATTTAAAGGATAGTGTAAATCAGGTTGGCTTCTAAAATCTTTTTTAGGCAACCTATCTAAAAATCTATTTTTAATTAATATTTCTAAAAATCAATTGTTAGATTAAAATTTTTTTATGTACATTATATATATCAATTTTTATATTACTTTTAATACTTCTAATTTTTTTAATCAAAAAAATTCTATTTATTGACATATATTTAATAGTATTAATTTTTTTTATAATTAATGAAGTGATTAACCTATTAAAACATTTAAAAATTAATATACATGATTTATATAAATAGAATTTTAATCTAATAATTAATTTTTTAAAATATCAATTAGAAGATAAATTTGTAAAAAAAAAATTAAGAGAATGACTTATAAAATACTTTTCCCCTAAACTTACATGCACTTTCCAAGAACAAATTTGTGAAAGGAACTCTAGATATTGGAAGCAGTCTGGTTTTATGGTATTAATTTTATATGCGATTTGCATATATATATATGCCCATGATTCTGTAAAATCCTGGGCTTGATTTTTCATTTCTTTCAAGTCTCGAGCATTCCACACATATTAGACTACAACATTACTAATTAAGACGACTCAACCATGGACGACTGTATCCTCAATTCCCTTGGTGGTGTAGCCAACGGGAGGTTCGAAGTTGCTGAAAAGCTTGTAAGAAGAGAGCAGAGAAAGCACTCCATAGCAAACAACTACAACAAACGTGATGATGACAGACGCTGTGGCCCTGTGGCAGAATCTCCCAAACGATCCACAAGCTGCACTCCAGGTGATTGACACGTCTCCCTCGTAGGCCAAGTACAGCACCTCCGTGGATGCAGCACCCGCAGCCAGAATTAAGTAAGTCAAAATCTGGATTATGAGAAAGTAGATTGAAGATTTGAGATTTTGAGGTTGAGTTTTTAAGTTAAAAGTCTCGTGTTCAAATTGTTTGATGTGAAATTGACCTGATCAAGGAAGAAAAATGTCCAAGCTCGTGAGATGGAGGGGCGAGGTAAGGCTAGAATGACAGCTGAAAGGAGAGAGTAGCCAGCACAAATGCCATTTGCATGCACTAGATATCTGTAAAGATGCAAATTAATTAGTAGTAAAGTTTTAAGGCACTTGTTCTTGTCTTCAAGAGATGAGTTCAAATCCTCTGCTCCCGACATACTTAAAAAAATGAATTCACTTTGAATCTAAGTACTAACTTCGATCTTTGCCTATACAAAGAAAGAATCTGCAGGCCCTAGCTAGGAATTGCTGGTTCGCATGCATAAAAGAATGAGGACGGTTTTTCCAAATCTGAATCTTTGTTTTCTGGGGATTTCTACCTAGCTTTCCTTTAAGCTTAATCTAAACCTTCCCTTAAGGAAGGGATGAAATAAAGCTCAATTCAAAAGAATCAGATGCATATTTAATCAGGAAATAGATATGTGAGAGGCTGGAGTACCTGAAAGCTCCAAGATCTGAGTAGGATAGTGAACCCAAGTCAATATTGGACTGAGAGTTCTTCACCATAACAATGAGCGCAGAGAGACACAGAGCCATCAGCACCAGACGCAGCAAGATCTCAGCTGTCCGCGTGCTGGCGTCCATCTCATTATCTTCTCTTGATCCCACCAGTGCTACCGGAGAGGCCACCACAGCTCCACCGACACTTTCCTTTTCTCTCTTCTCCATCATCCCTACTCTATCTGATCTTATCTTTCCTTCTTCTACCGGAGGATAGCTGTTGACTCTTGATCTTGAGCAAGAGTTCTCCTATTGGTAGGGTTGCATTTTGCTGGCTACTTATTAAAGAATGTGGGTGTAGTGGATGGTGATAGCATTGAATAGCATTCATAGCAGCCAACTTCTCCTAAGCTCTGATGATAGCTAGTTGACAAGGTTTTTTTTCTCTAATCCAACTCTCTCTTGCTTGCGTTGCCTCAATTTTTAACTTATAACTTTGTGTCAAGTTTTTGTCTTGGTCAATTGTCAATACTCCGTGAATCAAGAAATTAAATTTTGATGTCAGTAAAACTCCGTATGCTCAACTACTTACTTCTTTCCTTTAACAAGAAAGTGTCCTAAATTAAAACAGAATCGAATCGTAAAATATGAATTGTTATATAAATTTAACAGTAAAAGTGGACTGCAAAACACCAAACTGATTCATAAACACAAATCCAACTAGAAAAATCATTAATCTTAGCATTACACGAAACAATACATCAACATTTGAACAAAAAAGTAAAATCCAAGTTCAGTTACAAACATAATTATAATACCAAAAAGATTGATGCTCAGTCAAAACTCATCATATGGCGAGTTGAATATCACCCAAGTCAAGCTGGGATGCAATTTCCTGCAACTGTGTCTTGATGCTCGATCATATCAATCAATTTGGACCCAGAATTCCCATACCTGATTGTAAATCCAGCAACCAAACTTGGATCAATCACTTTCTTGATCCTCACATTCTTGGAGGTTGGATTGGAGGGAGACTGCTGATTGCTGAAGCGCGGCCATTTCTGTAGGGGTTAGAGCTCGGCTTGGGCATGGTGGGAGCGAAGCGGTTTTGGCGACGGGTGGAGAAAGGGCGGATTATCCTCTTTTTGGATTTTGGAAAACGATAGCCACTAACGTTCTACCACGATGATGGTAATCCACAAACTGGGCATCCTAGTACTAAAATTATATTTATTTATTGTTAACATGTTCTCAAAATCTACTTTCTATCCCACTCAGCCAATCTTAAAACTTTAAATCAAAGGACAGAGAAAAAGGGGAGATTTTAGCTTAACAAAGCTAGTTAATACTAACGTAAACAAAAGATCCAATACAACAAACGGGCACATCTAAGTACCCACACCCATACACATCAAACAGGTACGAAACGCAATGCAATCCAACAGCCACAGAGGCACAACTAAGTGCCCTCTTGGCCTCTTTATTTAACAACAGAAACACAGAAACTGAAGCCATAAACACAAACTAGCATACTTCAATTCGACTACTTCTCATTCCATTTTACTCAATCCCAAATTTTTTCTTCAGCTCCAAAACGAATCCGTACACCTTTTCATGGTCAGGAAGAGACTTAGAGACACTCTCCTTCTGCATGCACCTCTTAGCCCATGCAATTATCTTGGGACACTCTGCCTCGATGCTGAAGTTGCCACACTGCTCATAGGCATGGAACCAGGTATAGAATGGGACGAAGACAACATCAACATATCCCAGGTTTGATCCGCCAAAATAATGCCTGTCTCCAAGCTCTGCTTCCAGCACCTTAAGGCACTCGATGAATTCTTTCGTGCTTGCCTCTTGCTCCTCTCCTTTGCACATCCAAATTTTCCTCCCAAGATCATAAATCTGTATTCCAGGATAAACTATTTAGAAACCATAACTTCTAAAAGGTCAAAATTAACCATCACGAAAATTACCGTCAACATTTAGAAGTGGACAAATATACAGCTTTCAGGAAGAAAATTACTAAAAAAGGATTTAGGCATATGAAAGTTGAACCATGACATTGCCTGAGATCTTCGACCTTTTGGCAAAGATCAAGCCATACAACTTAAAAGTTGTGTCTTATGCGGGTTTTAGTCCTTACTTATACTGGGTTTAGTCCAATTTCTCTGAATTAGTTTACTCTATGCGTTTACTTCACATAAAAATAAACAAGTAAGTACCACGTGAAATTTGATAGGATAACGGAATAATGTAATTTTGGCATAAACCAAACACAGCGTGAATGTACCGATAAGTACCACGTCTCGAGTTTCTGTCATTCATAAACAAATGATAGAAAGCTGCTATAATGGGGTAGACTCCAAATTAATTCTCCAGCGTAACTTCGGACACGGAGGGTTAGTAGAAAAAAAAAGCCCTTCCTTTTTCAGATCTCCCCCCACCTCACAAGTTTTTCAAATTTAAAATTTCCAATTTTGAGTCCTAAGTTCTTAATCAATAAAGCCACCCATTTAAGCCTACAGTACAACGTCAACAAAACAAGGGACAAAAATTACCCATATTAGACAAAGTTCAATTCGAGAAAAACATGAACTCCGCCAAGCAGCGATGGATCGCGCCCCTTATCGAGGGAGGTGAGATGTTCATTAGATTTGAGGATCGGATCTCAGCTACTAACAATTAATAAAATTAACTTACTAATCATTGTCTTGTAAAAAAAAAAAAATCCAAAAAAAAAAAAGGTCCCAAGCCCCCAAAATAATATGTACTATATTCAAAGCTAGCTTAAACATTCTCAAAACCCCAAATGGATAAACCCTAAATACAGAACAAAACGAGAAAATTGAATGGAACCATGTAACAAAAAAATAAAGTATGCATACGGCATACCTTCTTATCAACATAATCAGCCCAGAATCTAGATTGTGCTCTGGCACAAGGATCAGAAGGAAGCAACGAAGCCTTGCCCTTCCACACCTCGTCAATGTACTGGACTTGGATGAGCGACTCACATATGGGTTTTCCATTATGAACGAGCACCGGGATCTTCTTGTGAATTGGGTTCATCTGCAGAAGCAGAGGGCTCTTGTTCCTCAGATCCTCCTCCTTGTACTCATACTTAATTCCTTTCTCCGCCAGCGCAATCCTCACCCTCATCCCAAATGGACTCGGCCAGAAATCCAACAGAATCACCTCATCAGCCATTTTTTCCGATCGGTCAAGGTAGAGAGTCAAAATGGTAGAGGGTTATAATTCTGTAAAAGACCAGAGATATGTGGTTCAGTCAGTGTCGTGCACTTATTTGACGAAGTCACTCGATTTTTGGGTCAAAAGAAAAAAATCGTGAG